AGGGAGAGGGGTGAGGACTTGCGTTGTTGTGACCAGGGGGGAGGGGTGGTGCTCCGACCCGTGGCAGTGGGTGTAATTTCGTCGCCTGGAAAACCTGACCAGGGGAGTCGGAAGCCTGTCGTGAACAACTTGTCATACTGTATGTGTATGGTACATGACTTTGTGAAGACCAGGTTGCTCGAGAATCGCAAATGACCCCTCGGCGCGTGTGCTCGCCCCAGCCATGGGTGTGAATCGCAACCTGATGTGTCATTGTTTTTCGCAGGAGCTGAGACCTCCCCGGTTACATCTCGAAATTTCTTGGAAATGACAGAGAATGGCCCACCCCATAAATGACTCCCTACCGCACGAGAAGAAGCAAGTCGGGGATGCGTGCTGTGTTGTGGGTGTTGTGGTGCTGCAGTCCGGGCGGCGTCTGTGCTATTGCAGCGCTATACCAACAAATCGTTCAGGGTCTGCATCACCTTAGCTGGTGGCAAACCACCAAGGGAGGCCACAGGGCCAGAATAGGGGGAGAAGACCAGCAGTTGCCGTCGTAGGCCTATTCCTTAGCGATGACCTGGAACATTTCGGTGTCCGATGCAGCGGCTGAGTCCAGAAGCAGTCGCGTTCCTCGCCTCCTTGAAGCTCCTCCGAAGAAAGCAGTGATAAATGGTATTGGCCATGTGGTTCGCGATGATGCGGTGATTCGAGTGCGAGTGTAAGTTGCTAGGGGCTCGATGCCGAACAGGCGGCTCTAAACCGCAATAGATTGACGATGTGAATGTGCAGAGTCAGAGGTGGTGACACTGAAGATGGTCCATCAGCAATAGATAGATGCTATCTCCTTAGCGACGCCTCATTGGCCGTGGCCGGGCTACATGCCCGTTACATGGCGCGAGCTTACTGTCCTGGGCGAGATACGCGTGGTTGACGAGACCTCTTACAGAGAGGCTGGGAGCTGGGAGCACTCACCTTCCCAGCTGGACTGATGGCTTCACCGAATGCTCAGGCAAAACATTCGCGACCCAGGAGTGAGGGAGCCTGCGGGCAACGCACTGGAATCATTCCTATTCGACAAAAGCCAGCAGAGACAGGGAGAATCTGGTAGAACATCCCCACCAATCCACATGCTGGAGGGGTCTTTCGCCCGATGATGCTAAAGCCTATTCGTTCCTAGCCTATCCAGTCGTATCATGGGCCCCTTCCCCAGTCCTCCCCAGCCCGGCCGGCACTGCAGAAAAGGCGGGTGGATGCTGCTGACGATTTGGAGGCTGGGAAGCTAGCCTACCTAGGCTCGAATGGAACTTGGATTGGAAATCGGGGCCTTCCAGGGCTGGCGTTAACATCAGGTGAGACAAGTACAAACAATTAGGACAGCCTGCTGCTGTGCTTCCTGTCGTATCGCGATTCGTAAATGAATCGCGAATTCGGACTCTAATGCAGGGGGCCAGGCCCGAGCTGCGAGTAGCTGAGTCGATGGCACACGTCCGTCGCGAGCTGGAGTCGAAGGGAAGTTCGTCGACAGAAGAGGTTGAAGGGGAGGACGGCTATTTTCTCTGCCCTTGTAGGCTATTCGCTCTGCCCGACTAGGGTAAATGCACGCTAGATAGAGGTATATAGTTGCCCTGGCTAATTTTGGTGGTGGAGCTGTGTAGAACTTGACCCTTGTCTGACGTGTATTTACCCTGGTCGGGCAGAGCGAATAGCCTACAAGGGCAGAGAAAATAGCCGTCCTCGTTAAAGGGTGGTCGATCGGTGGTTGGGCGAAGTCGGGGTCGGGGTCCGTGTGGTGGCGAACATGAGTCGATAGAAAGTCTGGTTGACTCTGCGTCTTTGGTGCATATTCAGTGCCCTCGGAGCTTGATGCGAATATGACTTTTGTGGTTTCCTGGCGCTTGCCCCCGTCCTCCGCCTCCGCTTCTGACTTTGCCGCTGCCGCTGCAAGATCCCAGGTCACCGTCACCCCGCACAAGCGTGCATGTGATGAGTGAACTCCCTCCACTCACGGCGCGAACTGGGTGATCGCCAGCGTCTGGGTCAGCATGGCCGATGGTCACTTGACGGTAGACGACCGCCGCGCATTCCCGTGAATCTGGCTTGGTGTGAGGTCAGCTGGGAGTGCCAAACCCACGTTGACCGGTGTGCTTGGTGGCTGTCCAGTGTTGAGACGCCATTTTCCTCGTGGGCGGCTGCAGGATGATGATCGTGCATCGGGGTTGAGGCAAGGCATCGTGCGTGAGGACGCGTCTTGGGAACTATGACCCCTGGACTGAAAGTGTGATGTGATGTTGGCAGAAGCTGGAGTGAAGCAGATTCACCACAGCCAACGATGACAGCCGAGCCATCCATCACGCCGTTCCACCCATGTCGCAAGTGGGAAGTCGCAGCCCGCTGACTGATTGTAGATGGCAGTTGTTGCCCGCAAAACCTGGCATGGGGGGGGGGGGAGGATGGAAGGAAAGGTAAGGCTGCGGCAGCGACACCTTTCCGCCGGAGCAATGGGTGCACTTGCCCGCTCTGCTCGAACCAGCTTAAACTCGCCAGGAGCCCTCGGTCGAACCTTCTCGTTCTGCTCTCCATCTTGGTCCTGTTCGCAATCATGTTTGCCCGGGTAGGACGCTGCATCTCTTCCTCACCCTGACTCTGATTGCCTGCTACCCTGTCCTCTCAAGGCAAGCATCGTACGCGTGTGGATTGAACTCGCGCATCTTGTCCTCGGTCGCGTCACAGCATGACAAGGCACCAGGGCGACACGAAACCACACGAATACAACGTCGACTGCAAACAAGGCTGCCGTTGACTCACCAGTTCTGTGCTGCCTGGCCCCTGGCATCCATCAACCGCCGACCACCTGTCAGTCTGTGCTATATATCCTGGCACTTCATCTCGCAAGATTTGGCCTCCTCCAGCCACCCGAAGCCAAGATTGCTGCTTATCACCGTTCTGGCCTGATCCTGCAACGGGCGTCCTACGTCGTACACGTCGGTGACCGAACGAAGGGAAAAGAGCGGCCGACCTGGCCGGTGCGCGTTCCGTTCCTCGCCAGACCCGACTCTTCGACTCACCGGTCGTCCATCGAGATGCCGTGGATGGTACTTCCTTGAACAAGATCAAGAGAACAAAGTGCCCCCCAGCATTCTGCCCGCTGTGCACTCGAATTACCGGCGAAGGTCATCACTGGTGACAGACGGCAAGATTGCTCTAGTAACAAACGACACGCGAGATCGTGCCTCTCCCTTCACTGTCGAACAATCCAACAAAGGCCACGTCAGGTCTTCATATCGACTTCCCGGAATCCCAGCCTCGTTGGGCTCATCTCTCGTATTTCAGCACCACCGGCGGAGGAATCTCATACTGAATTCGCCGGATCCCTTGCATATCTGCTGCTCGCAATTCCGTTGATCCTGGCTGGCCTGTTGGCTTGTGCTTGTGCTTGTCGCCCATTCTCGGTGAATCGAGGAACATCCCCGGGAATCCCAACAATTACCCACAACCTCCTTGCGTACCGGTTGGGGGGCCTCCAACCCAGACCACGACTCCCCCGTGTGTGAACGCCTGTGCGGCGATCAGAAGCCACGTTCTGCCCCTGGGACGCCCCTGGTGAAAATTTTTCACGCGGCACTGGGAACTGAGATCCCGCTGCGGCGCCGTTGGACCAGGAGCACGTTGGGGACGCCATACCCAGCACGCCGCGCTCGCCATCATTTCGCTTACCGTGACGGGTGGACAGCCAATTATACGAATTCGAATCATCTTGTTTGACGACTGGACCGAAGGCTGGGATTGTCAAAAACCCTCTGGAATTTACAAACTGGTTCCCTGCCTCAGCCGCCCACGGACACAGGTTCAGAGTCAGACCGAAATCCGCAGAGCCCAAGGGTTGACCGAGATCAAAGCCACAGGGAGGCCGCGATTTGGTCATTTCACTATGGCACTCTGAATCTGGGTGCGACGCGACAAGAAATCACGACGGACACACCCAGCACATTCCCCGCAACCGTATCGCCTCTCTCCTGCGACCGTGCTTTTCCAAAGCGAGTCAGAGCACATTTTCACGAGCCTGGGACGTCAGCTTGGTACTGTAAACGACTGAGCGCGACACATACGACCGGCTCAAGCAGCAGTGCTGCCACACTCGACGGCTGGCGCCCAACAAACAGGCAGGCCGTGCTTGTAATTTCTTTTCGTACCGTACAGCCTAGGTCGTCGTGAGTAATCCCCAGAAGGACGACTCACAGAAGATAGGGGCACACCCTATTCGCCCTTTCCGTCGGGTTAGCGGGAGCCTCGCTCCATGGGTTGAGCTCCGTGCCTTGGCTTTGGTTGGGCGGGCTTTGCTTGAACCACACCCCCTGGCCCTTGCCCCCCTGTATCTTGTCTCCATCCTAGACTCCTTGTTCTGGACACATCCCTGCTCAACAATCCTCGTCCCCTCTGGCGTCCCTCCCGTCGCTCTCCAGGAGAGCCGCGCCGCCATCCACTCCCACAGAACAAGCGAGAATATTAAAGGGTGTCACTACCGCCCAGCCTCCAGCCTTTTGTCTCCTTTCTGACACTTTTGGCTTTTGCCAACCAAACAACCCCATTTTCCAACCACCGCACCAACCATATCACCGAGTCGCCAAGGCGATTTCGCAAAACTCGATTTCCAAGCAAACCGTATAAGCCTTTGCTGGACGCTCTCCGAAGCACCCACCATCTTCCATAACATCAGGTCTCGACTTGGTGTTGCCAACGTTGTCAACTCCTCGGAGAATATAAACACACAGCCTGGACATGTTCGCCTACAGAAGACGGTTTTTTATCATCCCTCCCTCTTCCGACCACATACCAAGGTGACTGGTGTCACTTTCTCCCGCGTCTCGACATCGGCGCGCTTCGCCTGGACTGGACTCGAGATCGGTGCAATCGCACGCACAGTAACAACACACAACAAACTCGCCACAGCGCAAGGACGACATTTTGGGGACGAACAAGAAAGCGGATGTCGCAGGGACATCGCAAGAGCTGAGGAAACAATGGCCAACTATTCACCATACACCGGATCCACTCCCGGCGAGGAGTACTACTACGCCCGGGAGCGATTCCAATCCGCAACACCAACACCCTCCCCCAGGGGAAACTCTTACTACGCATCAGGCGGCTCGGCCACACCTCAGCGTCCGGCGACGCGCGCGCACTTCCGCAATGCTAGCACAGGCTACAATGACTACAGTCCTCGTCCCCCGACGGCATCGCCTCGGTACACGAGCGATGGCTACTATGCCACAGCCAATGTGAGTAGTGGTCATCATTCGCGCAAGGCGTCGTGGGCTACACCCACGCGCCCCAAGAACGAGCGCCGCAGCTCTTACATTCATGTCCGGTCATCCACTCCCCATGGAGAATCCGACGAGGACGAGATCATCGAGATCGACGGCCGTACATATGTCATCTCGGCCAAGCATCAGCAGGCAGAGGGGAGGAGGCTTTTCAAGGATTCTTACTTTGATGCGGCTCGAGGACACCCCACTGATTCCCACTACTACATGCAGGGAGGATACTCGTTTCATGATCGCGACGCTGCCTATGAACCCCAGTCCAACCCCCAGCCGCGCGCTCGCCCTACGGCCAACACACACGCCCGCAGGTCTTCCGTCTCGGTGCCCCAGCGCCCCGCCACAGCCCGCCCAGCCAGCTCCCACAAGAAGCCTGCCGCGCCCGCAGCTGCGCCCAAGGCGACGGAGGCCGATGCCAAGCGCCACCGCATCCCTCCTGGCTACTCACTGAAGAACTGGGACCCTGCCGAGGAGCCGATTTTGCTTCTTGGAAGTGTCTTCGACGCTAACTCTTTGGGCAAGTGGATCTACGACTGGACCGTCTACCACCATGGTACGGCGACGCCCATCGCTGATGTGGCTGGTGAGCTTTGGCTTCTTCTGATTCAACTGGCCGGCAAGATCAAGCGCGCCGACGAGGTCGTCGAGCGCATCCGCAGTGCCGAAAACAAGGACCTGGTTGAGGATTTCATCGACTCGGGTGAGCGTCTGCAGGACAAGCTGCGCAAACTGCTGAAGACTTGCGAGCAGCCCATGCTCAAAGCCAGCTCGAAGAAGAGCTCCCTCGGCAAGAATGCCGGTGTCGAGTTTGTCGAGACTCTCTTCGGCCGTGAGCGTGAGCTCGACCGGACAGAGCGTTTCATGCAGGGCGTTCGTGTTTTTAACCACCGTTTTGACGCCAACTGTGAAGAAATCCTCCCGGAACCCTACGAAATAGAAGCCTGGTCTCCTTTTTTGTCTTCATCTACCGGACGAACCAGGACAGGTCGCCATTGCCAGGATTTTCTTTTGGACCGAGGATTTTTTTCTTCATTGTCTCCGTCTGCTCGGACCCACGCGGACGGACTGTACCACTAGGACCGTTTTCCGGACTGCCACCACGGGAGGGGATTTCTTTCATCTCTACATACCACGGGATCTCGGATTTCTCTCTCCTTCACCTTAAACATAATCAAGCGCAAGCTTACCATTTGGATCGGGATACTTTGAGAGGATCTTCCTTTGCGATACCCACACCACAACGCACGATACCGATGCCGACCGCCCCCCGAGGGGCCAACGACACGAATCGATATACGAGGCATGGACAAGTTTTTCCACGCACTTGTTTTTAGGACGATGCTTCTTCTTTCGCGCGATTGGGAACAGGAAAAGCACGAGCGAAGAAGCCATGAAGGCAGGGATGTTGCGTTTTGGTTTAGTCTGCTTATACTTTCGATGACGCAAGGATATGGGATCTCGCTACAGGCAAAATGTGCCCAGCGACAGTGATAGAATTGGGAGATGGGACTGGCTATTTTGATTTCGTTTTATCTTACTCGCACCGGAGGCGTTCGCGCAGCCCGATGCCGACGAGCCGGGCACGTCGACTTTTTGTTTGGTCTTCCCGTTCGATGATGGAGAGAGAGGAGAGAAGCGGAGATGTGTGCTGGCATGGATATACCCTTCCTTTCGTTTTTTGAGGAGGTGGAAGCTGAACGACACAGTATGGTAGTTCTCCCAGTTGAATTTCGAGCCTATTGCTTCGCCTGATGTTTCCTACTCTTGCTTGCCTTGATTTTGTTTTGGTGCTAGGAAGATGGGACGAAGTATGGTAGAAGGGGTGGGACCTCTTTCGGCTTGATCGGCTGTCGATGATGCCTGTCGTCAATGCTATTCCCGTTCCCCCGTTCGCGAGGCGAAGCCATGACGTTGGCGGATGCGTTTCCGCGATGCCTCTTTCGACGGACAAACCCTTGACGCCATTCGGAGGCTATCGTGCATTGCGTCGCGTCTCGTGACGCGCAGGTCCTCGGGCAGGGTTCGAGCAAGGGGAGAAAGCAGGGAAAGAGGCGGGGGGGGGGGGGGGG